GGTAGTGTAGTGCCTAAGGCACTTGACTGCTAACCAGAAGGCTGGTGGTTCAAATTCACCAGCCACTCCCTGGAAGGAAGATGGGGCAGTCTATTTCCATAGTGATACTGCCTCGGAAACCCAAGGAGGGGTTGCTTTGAGTTGGGTCCGACTCGATGGCACATAACAAAAACAACAACATGTAGTTGTAGTCCCGTTATTGCTCTACTGCTTATGTCTTTGGATTTTCAGCTTCCTAAGGGGCAGGGAAGAAGCTCTGGTGGTGTAGTGCCTAAGGCATTTGACTGCTAACCAGAAAGTTGGTGATTAAAACCCACCAGCCACTCCTTGGAAGGAAGACCAGGCAATCTACTTCTGTAAAGATTTACTGCCTCGGAAACCCAATGAGGGTCGCTATGAGTGGGAATCGACTCAGTGGCAGGGAGTTTGGTTTTTGGTAAGGGGCAAGAATTTGGCAAATAAACCACTGCATTTCCCTTCTACTTCCCCAGCAACTGTAGGGTGCTTGGCACAATGAGATGCTCAGGAAGACCCCAACCTACTGGTTCATCAAGAGGAGGACTCCTTCATAGAGTCCAGAATTTCTGGAGCTGTGGAGACTGGGTGAACCCCTGAAACTATTGCCCTGAGATCATATTTATTTATTTTTTGGTTTTTGCAAACATAAGTTTATTCTCTCACAGTTTAGGAGTCTACATGTCTGCAGTCAGGGCACTGGCTCTAGGGGAAGGCTTTCTTTCTGTTGCCTCTGGAGGAAGGTCCTTATTCCTTGACTCTTTGGTGATCTTAATGTGGTATGTCCGTTGTTGTTAGGTGCTGTCGAGTCATCTCCAACTTGTAGCGACCCTATACACAGCAGAATGAAACACCGCTTGGTCCCACACCAGCTCCGTAACCCTTGCTATACTTGAGTCCATTGCCGCAGCTACTGTACCAATCCATCTTGTTGAAGGCCTTCTCCTCTTTCGTTGACCCTCCACCTTACAAGCATGACATCCTTCTCCAGGGAGTGGTCCCTTCCGACAACATGACCAAAGTAGGTGAGATGAAGTCTGGCCATTCTCACTTCCAAGAAGCATTCCAGATGTGCTTCCTCCAGGATAGATTTGTTAAATCTTTTAGCAGTCCCTGGTACTTTCAGCATTCTTTGCCAACACCACAGCTCAAAAGCATCAATTCTTCTTCGGTCTTCCTTATTCATTGTCCAGCTCTCACATGCATATGAGGCTATTGAAAATACCATGGCTTGTGTCAGGCGCACCTTAGTTCTCAA